GATACTACACCTACTACACCTACTACAGAAACTACAGGTACTACGGGTACTACAGGTACTACGGGTATTACACCAACCACATGTGCTGCACCTACACGGATAACTAAAGCTGACACCGAACGTTGCAACACTACCATAGCACACAACCCCAAGATAGTGCCATTTCGTGTGGTCATACATGAAGTAACAATCAACAACCAGTCCTAAAGGTCAAGGCGATAATAGGTATATACTTCGTGAAGACTTTTGTTAATGTCTTGTACAGAAAGCTTTTAACTAGGATCACAAATGCGATACCGCATGAAGTTTAGTGCTATACTTGCTATATCGTGGGCTCATTTCTTCAACAAAATGACACAGGATACCCAACCTAATATATATTTTTTTACCAGAGTGAATGTTTTCAGTTGCATGCAAGCGGAAATGTTTTCCAATTTCAAACAATTTTTATTCCCTTAGTACTGTTTTCATTGTTTTTTGGGCAGTGAAAATGGGAATGATAGCTAGTCTCCTTTGTAGCCATCATTAGTTTCGGTTCCATATCTGGGTCTGGAACTGACAGCTAAGAATAGATAGCTGATAGCTCCACCAGTCCCTGAGTGGTAAATCTATTTTCTTTCACCAAAGTAATCTGTTTGGATGAAACTCCATGTAGGCCCAGTTCAGACTAGAGACATAAACAGAGAGGTTAACATTGTTGTATGCCATGAATGAATCCAACTTAGTAATTGGGATTCATCCATTCATACAACAGTCCTTAACATTTAAATCATTTCCCATTCTCTTACAGCAATTTATGCAATCACAAATCATAGTTACAGTAAAATACAGTACAGCTACAGCACAGCTATGATTTTTTCTGTATCATTTCCCACTCATACAAAAACTGCTCTGTTTCTCCAGTCCACTTATGTTATATAACCACGTAAGCATAAGAATGGAAAAGTTTTTATTGTTTTGCTTATGTCGCTGTGTAAACCAGACCTAATTTGATGGGGAAAATTAGTTTCTTGAATGAAATCATAAAGCCAAAGCTTGATATTTGTACATTTAACAACATTATATCACACCAACAAGTGAAGTTTCTTTTTCAAATAATACAGTTTCATAATTACAAAAGCACTTTTCCCTATCTTCACACACTTCATATCAAACACTGGTAGTTGACAGATAGTTGACAGTTTTGGACAGAATATCATGTTTGATGAGCCTTTCTACCCTGCAAGCAGGATCTCCTTTTTCCTTCTTCATGGATGAGAGAAGGAAAGGAAGTTAAAAGTAGACTCTGCTTGTAGGGTAGGGCCTTTCTTAATTATTCCACTGAGAATAGACTCTTTGTTTTACCCACCCTGGAGCAAAAGAAAAGTGCGCCTTCCTAGGCAAAGAGCAATTTACCCTTCTGAGATGTGCAAAAATACATCCTATGAGTTCTGTGTAACAAAAAGAAACTTTGATAATGAAGATACTGTATGAAAACTGTCACTAAAAGAGAAAAGTTGTTAACTTTTTTTTTTTTTTTTTTTTTTTTTTTTGTATTATTTGTACATGATTTGTTCTATGAATATCGTTTTTAGTCCATTCTTGCTTTTAGAGTCCTGGTAGTAATCTTATCTGGTTCAATAACATGAACAACAGCACCCCAACCACTGACTGCATCACGATCTACTGCATTTAACAGAGCTTGAGATATCTTCTCAAACAGATCCTCTGGTTTGAGGTCGGGTTCCCAGATAGACTCACACATGCCATACATCTGTTCAGAACAGGTTCCACTGACTACGAAGTCCTTGGTCTCCATAGGACAGCCTATAAGATCCATAGCAGCTATATAAGGCTCGTTCGTCTTGGGATCCAATCCAGCTACAACCGGTTCAACAAAGTAAGGACCAAACCTCCTTTCATAAAGAAGATTAGACACCATACTTAAAAAGGTTTTGGGCTTGATTTTACGGTTCTCTCTCAGCTCATAGAGGTTCAATCTAAACTTTAGCCGATTCGCCACGGTTTGAACATCTGTAGCTAAGCCTGGTAGACCACAAAAGAGTTTGTCCCCCATTTGAAAGATCTTTTGGAAGTCACATGAAACGGTTTGCGCTTGCATTCCGAGACGCCGATCAGCTGCTATTGCAACGCAATTTTTACCAGTCATTGCTATAATAGCAGCTCCATTATATTCCATTATAGACATGTTGAAAAAATAGGAAGAAAAAGCCACAACACGAGGAGTTTTTCACAGAACAAAGATGGCGGATTTCTTGCTGACTAACCCAGCCTGGTTACAAAGCACTAATCGTCATGCATTGTGGGTAAAATCGCTTGCGAATGAGGAGACTGGATACCACTACTTTTATCGAATTTCCTACAAAGGTTTTAAGAAAAAACCATTAACTTGTAAAAGAAATCGTTAATGAAGTGCTACACATTGTTTGTGGAAGATTTTTTAAAATTTCTGTTTGCCTAAAAGCTCGTTGTTAAAGCCTTTATACAACGCACTGCATCATGGTTATATTTTGTGCATTCAAAACCGCGCGTAGAGAAAGGAGACTGAGAAATAACCCAATGTTTTCTAGATATTACTTAAAAAAGTAAAAATACTACTTAAAAATAAATCATTTCTTTATATTTAGATCCACAAAATGTTCCAAAAATAAATAAAAGAAAAAGTTTTTAAATGTGATTCTTCGATTTAAAATCTAAAATGTTTTTTTTGTTATAATTTTTTAAAACTGAATTTTTCGCAAATCTCAAGGCATTATGGGTATTGTGATAAATATTCATAAATCATTCGGTCAAAAATAGAGAAGAATGACGATCATTCTATAATAAAAATATATAAAGTATTTTCTAGCTGCATGTTAAGATGAGCGGCTGTCTAGATAATATCTCCTGTCCAGGATGGACTGATGCAGTAGCTGAAAGAAGGAATATGATCGCTTCTGTTGTCAGTGGAGGGTTGGTAAGTTGATCGAACTGTTTAGATTTTTGGCTGGTTTTTGTACATTGAATTCTACATAAATTGTACATAAATAATGAACTACAACAGTGCTCCAGGACAATTCCATGATCTAGGAGCTCGAAATCTTATTCTGATGATAAAAGTTATAGCTTATATTGAATGTAAGCATCTATAATTCGTTCGTAGATATTTCCCCCCATTGCTGAAGGTTTAGCTTCTTTCAAGTTTACCGTAAGCTTTTAATATAAAATTTAATCTAAAGTGTGCTGTTTGAAGTTCACTCTCATGACCTTAAACTAAGTTAATTTGAGAGCAAACTAAGGTTTGTTGATTGAAGTCATTCGCATTCAAAAACAGCTGTTTTATATATGCTGAAGGGTGATGGTTTGTTAATATTTACATTGTTTGACATCATTAAATCTCAAGTTTTGAAGCAAAGAATTGTATTTTTTACATATATTACATATAGGCAGTAAAACTACGTTAAAGAATTTTGTGACCTCTTTACTTTGGGTGTAACGTTTTCCCAATTTCAGGCCATGTGTCTTTTAGAGTATCATTTATTTGTTTACCAGTGGAGAGGGAGGGGCTAATCTTGTGTGTTACCCCTACTTGTCTCTTAGTATTTTCCAATAATAGCCTTACCATACTAGTCTCATATATATAGCCCCACCACTTTTAAGGGTGCTACGTGGTCCCTGATATATCTTGTTTGATTTGATGTACATTTTATTTTGAAATGTTTTTCAGTTTTTCATAGGATGGTGGATCATGATTGATGCTGCTGCTTATCCTAAAACGACATTTGACCCTGCTTACCATTCCCCTGGTGTTTTCTCTACAGTAGCTGTATTTATGTGAGTTCCAAAAGAACCTTTAAATTTAATTGGGCCCTAAAACAAATTCTCTCTGGGATGCTCAAAGTCAAGGCATGGCTATATATGACTCTCAGATCAAGTTGGTTTTTAGCATGTTAGGTTTTGCAGAGGGAGGAAAAGTGTATAATGTGTAGTTCCAGAAATTAATCATACCCACCCCACAGAGGAATTTGGTATTTCCGAAGGGTAGGGGGGTCAGAAAAAGAACAAAAATTACAGAGTTTGTATGGAAGAAAATTCAAATTTCTGGAGGTAATGGGGGTCTTTAAAAAATCCTCCATGAGGGGGGTATGGATAATTTCTGATCCAGGGATTGACCCAACCAAACTCTACTCACATGTGGTGCCGAATCCAGGAATCAAGCCTGTGACCCTAGAAGTAAGAGGCAATCATAACTTCTACATTACCCTTGTTTCCTAAAGGTTCTAGTTCTCAAAAATGGAAGGTCATGGACAACCAAAGATTACTATTTTTGTGTAAATGCCTGATCAACAAAAGTGCATACTTTTGGCCTTTGCAAACACAAAGCATCTAGCTGTCGAAGCCAAACTCAATAGCATCAATGATGTAATAGAAAATAAACAATATGATATTTCTCACTATTTAGTACAATTTGTACAAAAAATAAAGTGTTTGAAAAACTTTTCTTTATGTTTTTCTCATAAAAACATTGGAATGACCTCATCATGATGAGTGCACACACACAATGCCTAGAACATCCTAAAAAAAGAGTGAGCATTCTATGATATTGTACATAATCTGGACTTGTCTTCAGGATAAATGCAGTGTCTAATGCTCAAGTGCGTGGTGAGTCTTTTTCTACTGGAGGATGTCTGGGTCAAACAGGTCAGTATAGCAAGATAATCATCAAATAGCATACCATACCCTAAATGATTCAATTAATAAATACGTACTTTAAATCTGACACAAAAGAGTGATTTGATATCCTAATAGTTTTTCATTCATCAAATTTGACACTTTAAAGCAGGGATTAAAAATCATACTGCTCAATCATTGGCCAGACATGATGACCAGCCACATCAGACTGATCAACATGACCAGTTAAAAGCACCAGGCTAAGAGGAGTTTCAGCATGGCCAGACATGTGCCAATTGTGGCTGAACATTGTTATTTTTAGACCTGAAAAGTGTTTTATCATGTGTCCAAGCCTGAAATTAATGAAGATCAGCACGTTTTAAGTGATATATACAGTATGAGTGGCCGTGTTGTATCCGATATCTGTATATTGGATACAAAACGGCCACTCATACTGTAGATTACTTATCAAACGTCTAGGTTAGTTCCTTTGTGTTTCGCTAAAATTGTCAATATAAAAGTGAATCTGGCCAAGAAAATCCATCTTAAAGTTTATGCAAATGAACAGGATTCTGTATCTGATTTACAACACTCTTCACAGTTGTGATTTCTGTTGTGTTTTCCTCATGAATTATAATGAGTTAAATAACTCTACTTATTGTCTAGGTGCAAGGGTGTGGCTGATAATGGGTTTTCTCATGGCTTTTGGGGGTTTAATTGGTGCATGCTGGATTCTGTTTGGTGCTTATGTTGTCCCAGGTATGTGGAAATTCAAAAGCATCCCTTTGTTTTTACAAAATGTACTGATAAGGTCATTGACAGTTGCTGTCATATTGATAGATTATACTGAAAATACTCACCCGTATTGCTGTGCCAACATTCTAACAATGACCACTCTCACAGGGCTAACCCTGTCATATAGTAATAGATGATTTCTGAGATGTGCGAGCACTTTCATAAATATTAGACATTAAAACAAGGCATTTTTGGGCAGCGTCATAAGTGACAATGATTTCAAAAACCCTTAAAGAAAATATTTTGTGTGAAGTGAGCTATGTTTTTACAAAAGCATTATCTTCTTCCCCAACTAAGAGAAACTTCAAAGTATTTCTTCTTTAATTAACAGAATTTTCAAAGTTTTGTGTATGTGTTATCCATAGCGTGCGTAATAGTCTTGGCCAAAAATGCCTTGTTTTCAAGATCTGAGAACGCAATACATTTGACAGTGCTCGCACATTTTGAAAAATAGCTATTGAGTATTTAGCAGAATAGTGCATGAGAAGTGTTGAAAAGCACTCTGCTAGAGTTATTGGAAAGCTTCTCTTAACATGTTTCTCATGTTCTGCAAATTATTATAATTTTTTTATCACAACTCATTCATTGCAAGTAAAAATAAATTTATTTTTTTAATTCAATTTCTTTGTGATCATTACAGCTGGTGTAGCTGATCCATGGCCTGGTGTTGCAATATTCCTACAAAATGCTCTTATTTTTTTCAGGTAATACTCTTATGTTCTTGATGATTGTAAATTTCTTATCTCCCCCTGTCAATTGATAAATATTACGATCACTAGTGTCAGTTGATTATCAGTAGGTTGTTAGTAGAGTGTTGAAAGGTAGCCAGTGGATTATCACTTAAGTGTCTGTTGGTAGGTTGTCAGAAGAGTATCAATAGGGTGTTGATGGGGCATTAGTAGGGTGTTGGTCAGATGTCAGTAGGGTGTTGTTAGGGTGTCAGTAGGATGTGACTAGGGTGTTAGTAGGGTGTCACTACCATAGTGTTGTAATGGTGTTAGTAGAGTGTCAATAGGGTGTTGGTAGGGTGTCAGTAGTGTGTTGGTATGGTGTCAGTGTTGGTAGGGTGTCAGTAAGGTGTTGGTATGGTGTCAGTGTTGGTATGGTGTCAGTGTTGGTAGGGTGTCAGTAAGNTGGTGTCAGTGTTGGTAGGGTGTCAGTAAGGTGTTGGTATGGTGTCAGTGTTGGTATGGTGTCAGTGTTGGTAGGGTGTCAGTAAGGTGTTGGTAAGGTGTTGATAGGTTGTCAGTAGAGCATCAATAGGATGGAAACAGTGTGTTGGTAGTGTGTCACAAGGGTGTTGGAAGGGTGCCAGTAGTTTGTTAGTAGGGTATCAATAGGGTGTTGGTAGGTTGTCAGAAGGGTGTTTATAGAGTGTCAGTACTGTGTTGTTGGGTGTCAGTAGTGTGTTTATAGGGTGTTGGTAGGGTGTTGGTAGGGTGTCAGTATTGTGTTGGTAGGGTGTCATTGGAAGGGTGTCAGTAGGGTGTTGGTGTTGGTGTTGTAGTGTTTTTATAAGGTGTTGGTAGGGTGTCAGTAGGGTGCGACATTTAAAGAAAGTCTAATAATTATTTGCATGGCTTAAGATTCTTTTCTATTTAGTGAAGTAGCCATCTTCTAACTGAGCAATATTTTAATTTTTTTTCTCAAGTGCCTTTGTTTTCAAGTTTGGTCGCACAGAGGAATCTTGGTAGAATCATCAGACCTTAAAATGAATTAAAAAGATTAATGTAATCACAGAAAATGCACAACAATCTTAGATAAGATATAGTATTTAACGCATTGCCATGGACGTGGTCACTTGAAGATACAAAACCTATCGTTTAGAGGCAATAATACTTTTGCTTGTAGGATAAAATTTGGATTTCAAGTGACCTTATATTGATTTGTTTTATTCTATAATAGTTAAAAATGAAACATCTATCCTTTGACAATCTTGACTTAAGAATGATTCGTCAACAACCTATTGTTTCAATCTATTATTGTTATATCGAAACATCTCTCCTCTGATGATTGGCTAGTGATCGACCAATGAACACCCGAGTGTCAATCCACACGTGCATGGTCATAAAGTAGGCAATCTCCAATATTTACTCTTTCAGGAGACAAAAGTATATTCCCTCAATTATTTTTCGCTGTACAAAAAAGTTGATGTTGTGGTTTTAATATTCTGTGAACTGGGTGAAGGTTTATGTTTCAAAGAACACAAAGCCTTGTCACTGGCCATCCAGACTAGATTCCTAAATAACTAAATATGACGAAAAATCACATTTTGTCTGCAAAAACTCTCAATTTGTTTGGGAATCAGATTAAATACTGGTTAATGTAGGAAACAGCCTTCTTTTTTTTAATTAAAAGGAAAGTAATGACGGTATTTATTTTGTATTATGTATTTTTTCACTACTGCTTGTAAAAAATGCTGTGACGATAAAAATAAAATTTATAAACTTCAACATTTATCATCTAATTATTTGTGTTGTTATCTTCACTTATCTTTCTTTATGTCTCCTGCCAAAGTTAGCATAATATAATTATTTTTCATTTTAAAACTAGTCTAAGTTTTATTTATTTCTATTTAGGAAAAAAGATGTTAATTAGTTTTTAGAATTTGAGTAAACCCTTTTTTTTTCAATTACATAATTATATATAATGAAACTAAAATAATTTTTTTACAGTTTATCAAAATTTTCATAATAATTCCTTTTTGCAATTTTTCACTTTTAATAAATTGTAACTTTATTATTTCATTGGTATTAGATTTTATCAGTCATTTATGATATTCTCATCAACATCGTAATCCAATATCAATACATAGCAAGAGCATTTGTATTTATATGCGTGGTTTTAAGTGTTATCTTGGTGTAAAAATAAATTAAGTCCTGCAATACCACTAGCAATGCAAGTCCTATTGAAGCAAAATAAAGTTTTAAACCCATTCAATTAAATTTTATATCGACTTCCCGCATATTGATAACCTTTCTTCCGGTGGGAAACATCGCAAATTGGATTTACTTTGCTTTATTTTTTATTACAGAAGTTCGTAAAACGAATTTCCATTAAGATTTTACTATATCAAGTAACTTAAGACTTTTCGTGCAGTTTGTTACCTAAATGTCGCATTTTTTGTTTAAATTGAAACAAAATATTATAATGTGGAATTTGGCACTTATTTGATAATTCCCGACGAAGATAATTTTTTTTTTTAACATGCGTTCTTATCACACTGAGACACAAATGTACGATCTGTCAAAAACAATTTTATTTTTGCTTTGATCATAAGATAATAAAGTTGTGTTCCTATTTATTTAATGTAAAGCAAAAGATACCTTTCCATTGATTGAGTCAAGATTTTGCAATATGTCAGGGTTTAATTTCATATAGTATCATTGAAACATTGTTATACTGGAAAAAGGAACTGTAACATTCCCTAAAGTCAATTGTGGAAAAACAAATAATATTACTGCCACGAGAAAATATCGGACAAATTTTGAATTTTATTTTAAGCGCTATGCTCATCTCTTTTCTTCAATTTATTTTTTAATTTATCTGCTTTGCGTTTCTTTTTATGTTATTCGTGTCCAAAATTCCAACTTAATTCGCAAATCACCTTAGAAACTCTTTCTTTTAATATTTTTTCTTCGCCTTGTCTTCAGACACTTTAATTTAAATACACAACTAGAAAAGAAGTGGAAATGACTTGCCACGAAGAAAATTTGTAAAAAAAATTCTAATATGTGGCAAAATTGTAATGAGTTCGTCCCAAGGCAAAACACCTGGGATTGATTTTTTTTCGGAAAGATCACGCCAAAAAAAACATTGTTATCCAAGCTTAATACATGAAAAATATCAATTGAATTCATTATTCAAATCTTTCGGGGTGTTGTCTAGAGTAAAATATTTATGTTGAATGGAGTCAGTCTTGGCTTTAAAAATACGAAAGCCTGGACTATCTTTGTCGCTGAAAGGAGAAGTTTGAATGGCTTCCAAACCCTCGTTTTTGCTGCTGTTATTAGAGTTTCCAGAAATTAAAGCTTTGACGTTGGCCTCTTTCATCTTGGGAATAATTTTATGGCGCGTTGATAAGGGAATGTTGTTGTYATTCTCCGCTTCGTTTGAGTCGGATAAAAACCATGGCATATTTTGAATAACAACAAGATACTGAGGTGGATTTACTTGCGCTTCAAGTAGAACTGAATCCAACCACTCATCTTGCTCTACAGCAAAACCATCCAAGTCCTTAAATTCCACATAGTAAAGAGAGTTCAAAACGATAAACTGTACTCCTTCGATCCAGAACGCGAACCAATCCTCACCGAAATTTGTCCTGTAAGATTCAATGCTCGCAGTTTGAGGTTCTTTTTCAAATTCATTCTTCCCACAAACACATATAACTGGGATTTCAGAATCCAATTTCTGGAAACAATCCTTGAATGTTTCTACTTGTGGGAAGTATTCTTGTTCATCAGGCTTAGAATTCGTGAAGTTACCACAGACGACTACAAACCGTGGTTTAGGGTTCAAATCATTCAATAGTGACATCAGTTTTTCCATATTATTTTTCTCGTCTTCACAGCTCTCTTCTGGGCTTGCCGCAAAACCAAACCTTGGGTCCACTATTTGAACGAAATAAAAAGATTCTTTCATGACTCCTTCTCGATACCGTGTCAATCCCGGCAGTTTAAAGTTTTGAGCTTTAAGTATTTTACTCTCTTCAGGCGTCTTTCCCGCTTTTTGTGACTGATTGATCGCCAACGCATCTGGGGGAATTTCCAAATTCATTTTAGTTAGCGAACTCGTACGTAAAGAAAGGATTGAAAGCAGTGTACGCGGCGTCTGTACTACTGTACAATTAAACCTCTCGGAATCTCATCTCCATATCTGTTTATTATTCTCATTACCATTCAGTCATGCGTTGTTCATAAAAGGACCTCGCCAGCCTAAGTAAAGCTAAATGTCAACTCCTTGAGACTGAAAACTGTCAAAAGAACTCTTTTTAATTACACTATCGAGCCATTCACGAACTGATATGTCGACCTTGTAAACCTCTCATGTAAAAAAACTCACCACCATTTCCTGTGAAATATTGTGCTTCGTCATCAAGAATAAAACACCCACCAGCAAACCTAAGTTTTGAATATCGTTTGCAATTGATTTTATAAAAAATTCTCTTCGTTTAACGTGGCGTCTATAGCAACAGTGAGAAAACGAGATATCAATTATTTATGCTGTTGTGTTTGTTATTCTTAAGATGACAAAAAGTTATTTTAAAAAGGAAAACGCTGATATCTTTTCATCGCGCGCGCGTTTCTAGTTGTTAGGCAGATTAAGATCCCCGTTTTTCCTTCCCTCAAACGGCAAACGTGACCACGTTTTCATCGTTTCCCTACATTTCACTTTACCTTTTGCAAACTTTCTCGACAAAGACAAGTATTCTTTTGTTTATCTACTACTTGGAGATTTTTGCGATTCCTTTKCACTAATTTTAAAGAATTTTTTAATGTTCAACTGACGTTTCACGTTTGCCGCAAACGAGAATCTTAAATTCATTTTAGCTTTGGGGTTTTTAGGAAATCTCTCATGAATATAAGAAGCTGTCTGAATCCAGCGTGATATATTGAATTTCCTTTTCTACCGGGGTAATCTGTTGTAAAAATTATACTCTTGTACAAAGAAATATTTTATAATTAACGAAGGAAATGGGTTCAGTATCATTTGGTTGTCTCGGTAAGGAAGAAGGAAGCGGTGGTTTTTGTTTTTTTTGTTTTTTTTGTTGCATTTTTTGTTTCATTACAGTCTCAATATCATCGGGGTTTTATTCAATTCTTATTCAATGGAAAGATTCAAAGTAGAAATAAATTTTGAATTTATTGAGAAAAGAGCTAGTAAATAGGAAACGTTTCATTAAAAGAAGAAAATAAAACAAGAAAAGGAAAGAAAATTTAAATAGAAATTGAGAAATATATATATTAATAGAAATAAAAAAACTAAATGTATAAGGAAATGGAAAATCAGAAGGAAAAAGAAACTAAAATGAAAAACAAAAACATGGAAATATAACTACGAGGCATATGAAAATGGCACGGAAACCGTAAAAAAGGAAATGGTAATGGAAGAATCAGAATGGATGTGTAAGACAAAATGGAAATGGGAAAAAGAAGGATTTGAAAAGGAAAACAAACATGAAAAAAACCGTTTAAAAAATTATATAATGAAATAAGATATAAACTAAAAAATTAAATAATTCGAAAAAATTTTAAGTTTACTTAACAAAAAGTAAATGCAAGAATCTTCTTTTCGTGAGCCAAACAATTTCTAGAGGATTAGCTTCAAAGACTAGCAAACGGTTTTTATTTATCTTAATACTTAGAGACCTTCCAAACCTTGAAATATTATCGTTATCCTGTAACAACCTCTGGGCTGATCTTAGTAAGGGCACGACTAACTCACAGATCGAATTGCAATCAGTTTACCTCGTTAAGGTTTAGAGAATCGAACCGACGGTTACCGAAAAAAAAATCAATGGAAACGAAAATGTTTGTACTTTGTTTCTCGACAATCTGGCAACACAGTTCCTTTTAACCAACATCACTAAGAGATTTCCTAATGCCGATTTAAAGGAAAGTGGCGGAAATGGAACTATTAAATTTATTTGAATTACTATTAATATTAGAAATAAAATCGATTTTTCGCATTTGAATTTTATTTCGAATCTAGAAGCTAGTTAAATCTTTAATGGAATATTAACCAACACCCTTTGAAGAGGACTTGAAAAAGAAATTTCCTGTATGAATAAAGTGTTTTAATGCCTTTTCTTTAAAAAAGAATGGTTTGATTTGGTTCGTGACAGTTCCTACGAATAAGCCTCTTAGAGGCCTTTTAAAAAATTCAAATATTGCTTTAAGATTTATTGGATGAAACGGAACAATTTGATTGGCTGAAATGAAACCAATGAGCCAGCGTGGCTGAAGTGAAATAGACTGCTAAAGACTTTGACTTACTTACTTCACGTGAACTGCTAAATTAGTAGCACTGAATGGAAACCATCTATGTACCCGAGCTATCCCATCATTTCCTGCGGTTAGTAACATTGGTCCTGTCCCATCGTCACCCAAAGCAACGGAGTTGGGAGCTGTACTACCACTGTGAATAATGGTGTGGACTTTCTGAAACTTGAAGGAGAGAGAAAATAAAAGAAAACAAATAAAAATAGGGAATGAATTTGAATAGCATTTCCAGCCATAAGTACCCCTACCCTCCCCCCCCCCCTCCTCCTTCATACACACACATCGAGTAATTTAACAGACCTTTTTACTGAAACGGCAGCCATCTTAAAATTATGGGATGCCCAGGGAGCAAACGTAGGACTATTTATTAAATATAAAGGGGCGCTGTTACTTTTTAAAATAATTTTACACTTTGGTGTTTTATATATCGCTCCAACTACCAGCAAATTCAATTGGTTTCTAGATGTGTTACGCATTGGATAACGTATGGTTATACAGTCAATTCAAAAAACGTTGTCGTCGACCGGCTCAAGCCTACGCGACTGGACCCGAAAGGAATATGGTTAAAAATAACTAGTAATAAGATAATAATGGCGAGAGACAATCCATCAAGTGTATGTCTTTGGGTTAAGGGAAAGAAAAACAAATTAGTTATGATTCAGTTCACAATTTCGAAAATATGAAGGCATTAAAAAAACGTCTTCTTCAACAGTGATGGAAATTATACTGTATTTACAAACATTTCAAAACCCTAAGGCAAGATGAGAAACGATTATGATGTAAAAGACAACGGTCTGGTCCGAGCGGAACAGCAACACTGTAAATCTGCTTCCGAATTTTCTTTAGGCGTTTGTTTGAGTCAAATCTCTTAGGAATAACACACACTTTGTTTGGGTTAAACTCACACTATTTTTTCCTTTCAACAAACGAAATATTAATGATAGAGCGTTTTAAGACAACTGAGAACGTTAAAAACTGATAATAATTAGATCACATAGGACGCAAGAAAAACCTTGATCAAAGGCACGACTAACTCACAGATCGAACCCTGGAACAACCTCTGGTTTGACCTTAGTCAGGGCGCGGTTAACTCACAGATCGAACCCTGAAACAACCTCTGAGCCGATCTAAGTCAGGGCGCGGTTATAGCCATTCTTAATCACACTCGCCGCTTTTGCAATTGTTTCTGTAGTGACGAAGAAGCTTTTGGTGGACGTCAATCAAGGCGTTTCCATGACATTCTATAGGCACGTGCCCTTATAGCTTTGTGTTTTCCGACAATGTTATGGAAACGCCTTGTGATTGACGTCCACCAAAACCTTCTTCGTCGCGACASAAACAATCGCTAGAGGGCGCGTGTGATTGAGAATGGCTGTAACTCACAGATCGATCCCTGGAACAATCTCTGGGCTGATCCTAAGTCAGGGTATGGCTAACTCACAGATCAATCCCCGAAACAGCCTCTTGGCTGATCTAAGTCAGGGCATGGCTAACTCACAGATAGAACCTTGAAACAACCTCTTGGCTGATCTAAGTCAGGGCATGGCTAACTCACAGATCAAACCCTGAAACAACCTCTGGGCTGATCTAAGTCAGGACGCGGTTAACTCACAGATCGATCCCTAAAACAACCTCTGGGCTGATCTAAGTCAGGGCATGGCTAACTCACAGATAGTGAACCCTAAAACAACCTCTGGGCTGATCTAAGTCAGGGCATGGCTAACTAACAGATAGTGAACCCTGAAACAACCTCTTGGCTGATCTAAGTCAGGGCATGGCTAACTAACAGATNGCTAACTAACAGATAGTGAACCCTGAAACAACCTCTTGGCTGATCTAAGTCAGGGCATGGCTAACTAACAGATAGTGAACCCTGAAACAACCTCTGGGCTGATCTAAGTCAGGGCATGGCTAACTAACAGATAGTGAACCCTGAAACAACCTCTGGGCTGATTTAAGTCTGAATGCCGTTAACTCACAGATAGAATTGTAATTTAGCGTGACTTTGCGGAGGGAAAAAACTTGATTAAAATGTGATTAAATCCGAGATCCAATAGGTATTACCGCTACTCACTGTAATATACATACTTCTTGAACCTTTAATTCTGGCTCCTTGACAGCTCCGTTTATTGGGTTACCTGTGGTTTTGCCAAATAAGGGACCCGCCTCTGGACTAATATAATCCTTAGTTAATGGCAAACACACCTGGTTTTACCAATTGGTTAAGAACCGATACACATAGATAGGATTAATCTTTTTTATTGGGTTACCTGTGGTTTGTTCTTATAAGGGATGGGTCCACATCTGGACTAATATAATTCATAGTTAATGCCAAACACACCTGGTTGTCCCAATTCTTTTCCAAGTGATACACATAGATAGGTCCTATCTCTGTTCCTATAGCAACCAGACATCCTGAAAAAGCTAGGCATTTTCCCCTCTGAACACCAGCAGCTCCTGGACCAATGATTTTATAATTACGTAATACACTTGTACGGAGGTCACTTTTGACACCATATGCATGTTGCCTGGAAAATAATGCAAAAAAATCGATGAAAATAAAAACAACTCAATGAGAGAGCTCAGATATTAACCTATGTGATCTGAATTTTTGGGCTAGTCTTAGTCAATAATTTATTTTATTTAATCTCCATTTTCCATCTTAAAAACAAATAGAAAAAGAAGGTAACAATTTGTTCCTATGGAAGTGGTCCACAGCCTTTTGCCCCCCTCCCTTCTTGAGCCACAATTTTCTATGCGTGTGGTACACACTCTTTCCTTCTCCCTTCCCCTCCTCGGGACATAACTTGGTCCTATAAGTGTACTACACAGCTTTGTCTCTCACCCTTTCTCTCCTTGCGACATAATTTGGTCCTATATAGGTGTGGAAGGCTACCCCCTCCCCTCAATAATTATTTCCTATTGACATACTGTACCATGCTACAAGTTTTCCACAGCGACTTAAAGCTAGTGTAGTATCTCCTCTAGAAGCTGCTTGGCATATGCCTTCTTTATGATGGAAGTCCACTTCAGATACTAATGACTCACCAGTTGATAATGACCTGGGGAGAAAACACAGGAAGCCCAATTGAGAAATTATATCCCTACATAGAACGACAAAGAGCACCATAGGGGAATTATATAATAGGAATACAAAGTATTATTGCCATGCATCATCTGAGAACCCCTCTAAGTGTCCCCCTTCCCTCCTCTGGGTAGTCAGGGTACTCTTAAAGAAATACCATCTTGATTTCTACCCCCAATATCCAAATTCCCATTTATTCCATATTTTTCAAAACATTTCCCATTCCCAGTAACCTGAATCCCACTCTGAAGGCCACACACTAACCAACTGAGTTACGCCTGCTAGTAAAGCCTCATTAAAGAGCCATAAATGATAACAAACAATGTTATTCTTACCATAAATCCAAAATATTCTTTTCCGTTACAGTAAGGACTGCATCATTCAAGAGGCCAACATATCTGACCCAGTCAATGGAATTGATCCTAAAAAGGATCTCTGAATCATTCTGCAAGCATAACAGGGCATTACTTAAACAACTATATTTTTAAATATTGATAAAAAGAAAATGAAAAAACCAAAACCAAAAAACAAGTGACTTGTGTGGAGAATGACTTAAATCTAGGGCAGAGTACTGTGGTAACTTGACGTGCACTTGCCTCCCACCTCGAGTTCTCAAGTTTGATTTCTTGGACACTGCATAACATGTTAGTGCCTCCCTTGATTTCAAGGGTTTTTCTCCTCATTCTGTGGTTTTCCTCCCTCTGCAAAACCTAAGATGCTAATTCCAATTAGGGACGAGATAGCAGGTATATTATTCAAAGGTCTGTGACAACCAACAGCACAACCAACTAGAATGCAGCATTCATGATATATATAGATCACTAGTCTGTTCATTTTTAAACAAAATACATAATAACATTACCAATTCAAAATCCCAAACGGCAACACTGCCCTCTGTTAAAGCAGCAACTACAATATTTCTTTGAATGGCAACACAATTGATAGGAGAAGCGTGGTGAACTAGACGCTTGACACGGACACCTGGGTCATCCATATGCCAAATACACACAGTACAATCATCTGAACCAGATACTATTAAGTCATGTGGCTTATCATGGTGTAAAGACACTCCTATTGATATACAATGATACATTATACATGATTAATCATAATGCAAATACTAACATGTTGCATGGGTGTTTAGGTGGACTGGATTTCTTTTCAAGGCTGTTACTGATTGTTTGTTTATTTGGTTTGTTTGGTGAGTTGATTGGATGGGTGCAGGGTAGGTGGGTGGGTGGGTGGGTGTGCTTATGTAGTTTGGTAGGTTGTGTACATGGCTATAGGTAATTAGTTTGTTGCTAGGTTGGTTAAGCTATTTATAAAAATTATAATTATACAGTTCCATTCAGTGACCACGAATAATAGTTCCTACCCGAGGCTGGAGTTTCCGCGCATATAGCAAGACTAGATTTTCTGAATACATATTACATCAACTGAGTGCTATGTAGGTTCTCCCGATTGAAATAACTGGATACCATGGAGACGTAGCTTACATACCTGGTTTTCTGCGTAAAGCCAGACAAATAACTCTGTGTTCATGGCCTTGAAAAGTCTTTAAGCAGCAACCAGTCCATGCATCCCATATCCTTACAGTACAGTCCTCCCCACATGTAACTACTCTATCTCCTGAAATCTTGGCATCATATACTGGTCCTTTACACATTTAAAATAATCATTCAATTTGTTTATAGACAATGTATATGTCTGATAAGCAAAATAATGATAACATAAAGCTGGAGATAAAGTTGTGATTCTCTGTTTGGTATCTCAAAATTACATAGAACTGCAATTCTCCTATGAGTTATCTATTGCTCAGTGTTTTTTCTTTGTATTAAACACCATGCAGCAATGAGGTGAGAAATTATGTACAGTAATACAAATGAATAAATTTTTTTTAGAATTCCAAGGATAATCTGTTCTCAGTGCAGAATATTTCATGCACAATTGAGGATAACACTGAGAAATGATAGAGAACTGAAAAACTAGAATATTTTTATGTGATCATCCAAAGGAACCTGTTAGGGGTAAATTGCGACAAGTGACATGGCCTTGACAGACTGCTCTAATGAATAGACCCTTGGAACTCAAAAAGGGTCCATTACCGACAGCAAGGCCCCTGTTCTGAAACTGCAACATAGGCAATTGTGAAATTGGGTACCCCATCCCTTCATAGGGCCTCATCCAAACCATAGCAAACGTCTGTTAATTCTGACCACTAAGGTATTGTGTATGAACCTATGACCTCACACACATCACAAAGATTTCATCCAATGCTGTTCTTTTATTATATATCTTTTATGCATAAAATTCCTCCTGTACCTGATGAATGTCCTTTCAGTTCTAGACACATAGTAGGCCATTTTCCTATGAATCTACTTCTGTGCCATTCTTTATAAACTTCCTTCCAGCAGCTCACTTCTGCTTCTTTATGTTCTAAATGTTCTAATAAATCCTTCTTTGTATACCCCAAGATTTCAACAAGCACATCTTTTGGAATCTCTGTTAAACAAACCTTTCTCCAGAGTACATTATAGTTGTGTTGATCGTGTAGATCTCGCCATTTTCTACAAACTCCTTTAGACTTTGCAAGAGACAAGCCATCCAAATAATTAAAGATTTTGTCTACAAGTTCGAATGGCAATTCATTCATAATTCCTTCAGAAGACTTCAAAAAGAATAGAAAATAAGATAATTAATCTTTTTTCCATGGTAAGCGAGCTTTTAGCGTCATAAAAGGAGAGTTTTTCCCTTCATATTTTTCGATTTCTCAACTGAAACTAAAAGTACATTTTGTGCCAGGCGTACCACAGGCAACCCATGCGAATAAAATCATTTATATAGGTCAGCACCAAACTCGCACTTTTCAGTTAAGGTGGCTGACTATTTTGGGAAATAATAACAGAAAATTGATAATTAAAACTCGTTTAACCTGAAATTTAATGCTGACTTCAAAAACGCAAAGAAAAATGGGGTGTTCCGAGCTCGTTTTTGAGATAATCACTGAATGACATGCGTTTGTACAATTTTGGAAGAAAAATAGCGAAAATCCGTGAAGCTCTGTACAAAAAAAATATCACAAAACCGAAACTAAGAAAGAAGCATGAGTAATTTTCTCCGAACTCGTAACTTACGCTACATTTATAAAATACGGATAAAAGTTGTTTTAATAAACTATTGTAGACAATGGATTTTTTTTTCGTTCAGGTTCTTCGGTGTGTAGGTTATCGTAAAAATTGAGCACAAAACAAACATAACGATTTTTTACATTGTTCTAATAAACAGAATTGTCTTAAACTTTGAAAAATAATGGGATATTACCTGTTATTGCGGAAAATAACAAAAACTATATAGTGCCGTGTAAAATAGTTTTTTGCGCTCTTGAAGTTCAAAACGTGTATGGTTCTTCAACAAAATCGTGAAGATTATTCAGCGGTTTTTGAGGCAGAATAGGCATCATAGCCGGGGGGTACGGCCCCAGCCATGCCACTTTACAGAGGTAAGGGTGATTTTATTAGACATAACAAAACATTGCAAAACAATTCATTGAAGTGGATGATTCATGAAGGGCCTAATTTCGGTTTTTCGACTGCTCCGAAATAGTACATCATAACTAGTAGAGGAGGGGTTGGGGGGTTGGGGGTTGGGTGTTGGGGGTTGGGATTAATTCTAAATTTTAAATTTTAACACCCTAAAAGATGCCGAATTGCTGATTTTTACCCCTAAGAGATACGACGAGCATACTTGATACTTTTACCTCGGAA